TCTCTCTCTCTCTCTCTCTCTCTCTCTCTCTCTCTCTCTCTGTCTCACTCTCTTTCTCTCTATCCCTTGCCTATCTGTCTGTCTTTGTCTCTGTGTTTCTCTCTGTCTCTCTCTTTGTGCTTCTCTGTCCCTCCCTCTCTCTGTCCCTCCTCTCTGTCCCTCCTGTCCCTCTCTATCTCTGTCTCTGTGTCTCTCTCTGTCTCTGTGTGTCTCTTTGTCTCTGTGTGTCTCTCTTTGTCCCTCTCTGTTTCTCCCACCCTCTGTCTCTGTCTCTGACTTTGTCTCTCTGTCTGCCTTTGTCTCTCTGTCTCTCTATCTATGTCTGTCTTTCTGTCTCTTGCTCTTGCTCTCTCCACCCATCTGTCTCTCTGTCTCTGTTTCTTTCTCTGTCTTTTTCTGACTCTGTCTTTCTCTGTCTCTTTGTCCTCTGTCTCTCTCTCCATCTCTGTCTCTTGTTGTCCCTCTGTCTCTCTGTCTCTGTCTCTGTCTCTCTCTCTCTCTCTCTCTCTCTCTCTCTCTCTCTCTCTCTCTCTCCTTTTCCCCTTAGTGCTGGAACATTGCCTGTCACCTTCCGTTGCCTGGAAGAAAATCTGGGGATTGATAAGCGTGTGACCAGATTCGTCCTCCCAGTTGGAGCAACCATCAACATGGACGGCACAGCCCTTTATGAAGCCGTGGCTGCCATTTTTATAGCCCAAATGAATGGCGTTGTCCTGGACGGGGGTCAGATTGTGACTGTAAGGTGAGTGAAATTAGGGAGGAGGCATAGAAACAGCCTTCTTCCCAGATCCCCCTCCTCAGGAACTCCACTTAACAGAGGCTACTGAATTTCGGTTCCTCTGGAGAACACATAATGAAGGAAATAACAGAAGAGGAAGTATTGGCAACATTCAAAGGGAAAAAATTGTGACCAGAAAGAAGCAGACACACAGGAGTCCCTTCTGATTGTGTTACACATGGCAATGGGCTGTTACTTGACTGTTAGCAATCGTGTGATGGAGGAAGACACTTATTTCTATGCCCATGTAATAGATGAGGAAGCTCAGGTTCCAGGAAGCACTGCCAGTTGTCCAAGGATACACCAGGAGTAGGACTGGGGCAGATGTAAGCTGACCCTGGATCCAATTTTTCTTTTGTGAAAATATGCTCCTTTCAACATTCCAGAGGGTGAGAGCAGAAGTGATGAGAGAATGGAATAAAGAGATTCCTCAATATAACCTATAACATTTTATTATGAATAGCACATAGTTTTGTTTTTATGCAATCTATTTTGCCATATGTATTCGTTATTACAAAAAATTCAGAACATACAGTCTTCCAAGAAGCCATTAAAATATATTGGTTCTCAGTTGACCTGAAGATCGCATCTTCTACACAGGCCAACTTTTCAGCTCCTTCGCATATGTAGAGTCACTGAACGCATCAGTCTTCAAATCATCCAAAGTTGTATTCACACTATCATGTGAAGTGAACTCCTTGAAATCTTCTTTTCAGTAGCGTCATTCCCACTCCAGGTAGGAGCTGCAGTTAAGTTAGAAGTCAGTTTTTGTCTTCCATTAAAGTGAAATAAACAATGAGGTAGCCACTGGAGTTGTGATGTTCTTTCTGTACTCCCAGCATCTCAATTTCCTCATCAGCAAATGAGGAAAATACTCAGAATTGGTAGCTCAGACCCATACTCTATCTGCCTTGAATTATGTTGTAAAAAAAGAACTTGGTGTCTTGTAAGATAATTGCTTTCCAGTTCACCTCGTTCGCTTCTGCTCCTTATTACTTACACCTGGTCAGCATCGCCCGCCACCACAGCTTGGCCCTTTAAGACACTGGAGTTTGTGAACCTTGGACTCTACAATTAGTGTTTACTTTCCTCTCTTGGCTTCTGTGTTATCAGTAAGTGTGGGGGGTAGGTGAGTCACACTGTGTAGAACTGATATATTTGCAGAGGATACAAAATTCCCAAAATTGGAACAGCCTCGGCCCAAGAAATTCACCATGAGAAAAAACTGGGGAGCCATTGAAATCCACTTATTTTTATCTCAGAAGTGGTGGACTCACTGCAGGTAATGTTTTGAACATGTCCAGCAATCCCGAAATCACTATCCCAATTTCACAGAATAAAGGAGAGTGCATTTGTGTTGTATACTTAGCTCTCGTGACTAATGGGAGCCAGAAGCGTAGATCAAATCTCTCTGCCATGGGGCCAGGGAGATAGCGCAGTAGAATAAGTGCTTGCCTGGCAAGCATGAGGTCCTGAGTTCAATCCCTGGTACTGGAAAAAAGTCTCTCTGCTATATCCAGTGCCTTTCAGGTTGCATCAACCATTCTTTCTGTCTTGGACTCAAAGGAAAACATTAACGTATTGTTGATTATTTTTTACCTTCTTCACTGGATATTAAGAAGAAAGAATATCTTCTGAATTCAGGGTCATGCACTAGCCTTTTCTCCTATATGTCTAACACTGCATAACACTGTCAACCTCTATTTTAGAAATTCTGGTAATAATCAGGTGGTTCACTTGACTGTTTGTTTTCTGGGAGGACTTTCGTGGTTTGAGATCCTCTTTAGAGACTTGTCCTAAGAGTCTAGGTCTACTCATAGCTAATTTCTCTACATACGAAATTATCAAAAAATTCAAATTTAGGGATTAAGCAGTACCAATAGTAATACTAGACTACTGGTCGCACATGCTGTTTATATAGTTTGCAGACTGGTGCTGCACTGTGCAACTATTTCAGACCTTTGCTTTACTCTGCTAACTCTGGGGCATTTAACCAGCTCAGAGATATTTTTTTTTCAACATCACCAATTTCTCATCTTTTCTTATAACCATTCCAAAAGACTTAATGAATATCCCATACGAATTTGAACTTAGTCTGGCAACCAAGCAAGAAAACAGTGAAAACAAAGGGCACCATGTTTAACACAGAAAACATGAGTAAGAATCACAGACTTGCCTAGGGGCTGTAGGAAATCGAGTAAAGGAGGAACCTGAGGCTCAGGGAATAGGTCACACTCAGCTTTTCAAGGAATACTTAAAATTGAGCTTTTGAAGTGCTACTGTATGCTTCCATGGGTTGTAGACCTTAACTTTTGATCTTAAAAACAGCCCTGAAAAATACAAATTGGGTTCTGTATTTTAGAAATGGGGAAAATGAAGCACAGAAATGTCAAGTAATTTGTCCAAGATCACATTATTTGTAAGTGGTAAAGATAGGATTTGAATCCAAACTCTGGGGCTGTGCTTAGAACCACTATGCACACTGCTTCAACCATACTATACTGTGTATCAGACCAGACCAGACCACACCACACCATACTATACTATACTATTACTGTGGGGTTCCATATGTTAATTTGTTAAATCCTTAAAACCACTTATGATGTACGTATTACAGAGGTGCCTCACTTTCCTCATCAGTTTGATGGGGACAACAATCGTCACACACTCTGGGGTGGTTGAGAGCCTTTTCTGCCACACAGTCACCTGTCCAAAAGGTAGCTATTAGAATCATTATTACTAATAATGTTCAATAAGTGCACTAGCACTGCTACAATATTGTTGAAAAATGTGGCAGTGACCTAGTGAATACCACTGAGGTTATCCACAATGGGAAACTTGCCTCAGGTCAGAGTGCCAAGCTTTCTAAATCATGTCATGTGAGATTATTACGCTCTATAGCTTTAAAACTCAAGGGTAAGAAGCACCCCTTAGTGAAGCCCTGGCCAATCCACAATAGTTTCTGTGCCTTTCTTCTTTAAAAAAAAATTAAATCTTCTATTTATGTATGTATTTGGTACAGGGTCTCCCTACGCAATTCAGACTCATAGTGATCCTTCTGTCTCGGCCTCCCCAGTGCTGGGATTACAGGTGTGCACCACCATGCCCAATTTTGGTGGCTGGCACAATGTGCCCCAGGCTCCAGGCCAGCACTGGAATACATGTGGTGCCCGGGATCTAAACTGGGTCCCTTCACTTGCCAGGCAGGTGCTTAGACCGCCACGCTATCTCCCTAGCCCCGATGCCTTTCTTCTTAACTTTGATGAGAACCTACCTTTTCATGAAGTTTACACAATGAGTGGGGAATTTAGAGTTAAGAGAATGAACTATGTAATTGGGTTTGTGCTGGAATTATTCAATTTTATCTGCGTAGAGGTTTTTGTTTTTTTGTCTCTGTCTCTCTCTCTCTCTCTCTCTCTCTCTTTCTTTCTTAATTTTTTTTTTTTTTTTTTTTTTTCTATTAACAACAGTTTTCACTGAGGAAAGGATAAGGTTGGTGGTATATGTATGAACCTCTGGCCACTTAGCCCACTCTCCGAAATACAGACACCACAAGCACTGCTTGGTGGTGGTGATGGGGCACATGGCCTGTGCACTTCCACTACCTGCAGTTTATTTGGAGAAAAATAGCCAAGTCCAGCTTCATGCTGTGCTACAAAGTAACTCCAGCATCCTCGCCTTTCTATGCTATCAGAAGAGTGGCTGAGAACTCTCAGCACATTCATTAACTCATAGAATTTTCAGAGTAGGTGGAAGGGGGCCGCTGAGAGCTAGAGGATGCTGGAAATGCACGGGTGAGTGTTCATGCCCCAGCTATGGTTTACTGCAGACATGTGGTCCCAGAATTTCTCTTCCCATCACAGCGGCTTTCTCACAGCAAAAACAAGCACTGCCACATATACTTTTCAATGGTACTGTGAAGATATGCCTAGGTATTATGTATACGATACCTGGCACTGTTCCCAGGAGCCAGCCCTAGAGAAATCAGAGGAGTGGACAGCCAGCAGGGCAGAAAAGGACAAAGAACATAAGCATATTAGGAACTGTTACAGAGCTAAGACTTCTGGAGACCACATTTTTCTTATGGGAGGAGTAAGATATTATTAGCACTATTATTATTATTATTAGTCTTAGGGTGAAGGAATTTTCTCTGTAGATTTGTCCCAAGGAAGCATGAGCTCCTCAGATAAAATTGCCCCAGTGCAGAGAGAAGAGTAAGAAAGACTCTGAATGGAAGTACCCAAGGTTATGATGAAACTTTGGAGGCCAAGACCGTTGGAACTTTGGAAGTTCCCCTTCCCTGGTGTTTTGTCTGTCTTGGAGAATTGGCTGAGAGTTCCCACTGTCCAGCTGTTGGGGTTTAAGGGAAGTTTTCATTATGAAGTAAGCCCATCCTGAGGAGATTTCCTAAGAGTAACAAATCACATCACAAAATTTGCCTTGATTCTCTGACCCAGAGCAGATTTTCTATTGTGAGTCACCTAATGGTATTTACTACATCTTGCCACGTTTTTCTCTCATATTATAGGAATGCTGTTGGACTTTACTGAACATGATTAATAGCAACAATCCTAGTAGACTCTCCTGAGCATTTTTTTGCCTTTTACTTCTAGGCTCCAGAAAGTTTTTCATTACCCCCCAGGAGTGAGATAGCATCATTATCGCCTTTTTACATGAAAGCACAAAGAGGTTAATTTGCCTAAAGTCAGGTGGACGGCAAGTGGCAGAGTTGGGATTTGAACATAGTTCAAGAGCAGAATTCCAATAAGAACCACTGGCCTCGGTACTATATCAGACCTAAATCTGGGAAGGAGGGCAATGTGGAAAAGACAGCTCCACACATAGACTCTCGAGGGCTTACCTTTAACATTTCCTCCACTGTAAAATTAGATAAGTTCAAGTTGCCCCTGATTGTAAGATCTCAACCTGCCATGTTTAGCCACACTGGTGGTTTGGACTTAAAGCACATTGAGATGCTGGTTCTGATTTGAAGCTGAGTGCCTATCATAGATATTGCAGAATTTTATAATCACAAAGGAAGTACCTCTCTTCCTCTTTCCTTCAGTGCCCTTAAAATCAAGTTGGGAATCCCTATGTTCAGAAACATTCTCCTATTTAGAAATGACTGTGTCTATAAATGGCATCCTCATAAAAGCGAAAAAAAATTACTACCTCTCACTGGACTTCAGAGCCCCCCTAGTGTGTATATAGTATGCTTGAACTCTAGATTAACCTTTGCCCTGACACAGACGTCAGAATGGTGCTCAGTGGGCTCTTGGCCCTGCTTGCAAAGAACGTAATGAAGTGCTTCAGCAAGAAAGATTTCCTTTATTCCATTATCTTTGCTTGGCACCCTCTTTCTGAATAATGTGTTTTCCAGCCCATAAAGATCCAGGCAACTGAATTTAATGTCATGTGGAATCTGTTGATTTCTTGTCCTGATGTCCACTGAGTTGAGTCTGGAGATTTGCTACGCTGAGTGCTCATGTTAACACTGGCAGTGACATCCTCAGACTCTCGCCACATAGTCCCCAGGCTGGTGCTCAGAGAGACATAAGCACAGACAATACAGTTGGGTTCTCATGGGAAGGTGGAGGGTGATATATTTTCCTTCTTTCATATTTCTTTGCCTGCTTCTAGAGTTACAGGTACGTTACTGGAGCCCTGTGATGCATTAGATTGATATCATCATGGTAATAAAGCTCCAACCCATAAATTTATAGGCCAGCTTAGTTGAGCAGAATCCAAATAAACCTAATTTCTGAGTCTCTGTCCTTTAGATTTCTCTGTTCCTTAGGGGGAAGAAGAGGAGGGAATTTATGGCTGCAGGGAAATTGGGACTTCAGGTTGCCAGGGATGGTTTTGCCAAGACTCTTTCTCTTCCCATGACGTGGCCTTCTCTTTCTCACAGCCTCACGGCCACGCTGGCAAGCGTTGGTGCTGCCAGTATCCCCAGCGCTGGGTTGGTCACCATGCTCCTCATTCTGACAGCTGTGGGCCTGCCGACAGAGGACATCAGCTTGCTGGTGGCTGTGGACTGGCTACTGTAAGTGCTTGAGATGGGGTTCTGCTGGGGACTGTGGTGCATGTCCCTGGGGGTTGGGGAGACACGGAGCAACATCCTGGTCTCCTTTCTTCTTCCTTGCCTGTAACATTTCCTGAGTTACCTGCTGGTGAACCAAAGAAGAAAAAGATAGAATCTTTGAGAGTTTCACAGTTTAGTGGATGAGCCAGTAGTTTACAATACCAAATAAAGCTAGCAGCAATAAGGGCTCAACTCCTAATGAATGTAAAGAAACTCAAAACACAGTAGGGATAAACAAATCCCCAAAGAAAGGAGTGTGTAGTATGTAATTCTACATATATGAAGTGGTAGGAAAAGAGAATGCAGTCTATAGCAATAGGGAGAGGTTGCTGGTTGGTTGCCTGGGGTCTGGAATTGTGTGAAGACTAAGTGGGAAGGGGCACGGGGAAACCTGAAGAGCGACAGCTAGTCTCTGTCTACACAGGGGTCTGTATTTATGCAAGCTCACCAAACCGTGCAACTAAAATGTGCACATCTCTTTGTATCATAAATTTCAAAGTAAAATTTTAAATTAACGTGCAAATAAAAGCATAGCAATTGGATAGAAAGACAGAGTGGAGAGTACCAGAAGACAGTGAAAAGGGTGTCTGACTTTGAGCACTTACTGCACCCAGTACTATGCTGAGCACTCTATGTCTTCCTCTACAATGATGCTGAAAGTTCGGTGTTATCATTCCCATATTATTGATGAAGTAATAATGTTAAAGAGATGAGGTGGCTTAGGGATGAATAGATTCAACCCTAGATATTGACTGGGAAGCTTGTCATGTTCTTGTTCATAGCCATATTTGAGCTTCAAAAAGCAATGGTAGTTAAGCCAAGTCCTAACTGGTAGAAGTTACTCCGGAATACAAAGATGGAAATAGAAACAGGACATTCCACTTGAGACCAGCCTGTACAAAGGCAGTGTGGAGACCTGTAGGTGACAGAGAGGTGAGGTGGGCAGACCCGAAGGCCGTGCAGGAAAGCCTAAACCTGAACACACATGCGTAGCCCAGCCACAAATGCCAGTCAAAGACATTTTCCTGGTATAGCAGGTCTGCTTTCCATTCATGAAAGTAGACAAATCCACCCCAAGTTCCCCAATAGGGTTGTTTGAATAGCTCTTCTCTAGGGGTCCACTTGGACCCCACTGTTCTGTAAGATGTACCTGAATCCCACCTGTCTAGTCACTAGAGACACAATGACAAGTGCTTTACAGAAGTCCAAGGCCAGGGTGCCCATGTCTGTTTTTCAAGTCATCTGACATATGCCTGACAGTTTTTCTGGCATTTATTGGCATCGATTGGGAGAGCCAGAAGCTGCATAATATACACTTGAATTTGAACCTCATCCATGCCCCCTCCCTTCCAAAGGAAGAAAAAAATGCAAGAAGCTGATGAGAAGAAGCCCACCTGGGAAGGCTGGAGGAAGCTTGGTCTCTCCATAGCATGCGCCCTTAGAGACGGTGGGGTCGAGGGTGTAAATGAGAAAAGGCTCCCCTGAGGCAATCTGTTCAACACAGGAGGGCTGTGAAGCAGTCATGGATCTTGGATGGCTCCTTCACCATCACGGAAATGTTGGATGTGTGTTGAGTGGGAAGGTCGAGAACAAACTAAACAACCTCATGTTTGTCCACCAGTCTCAAGTAGGTTCCGCTCTGCTAACTCTGTTGCTCTCTATGTCCAGTGTTGGCATCAAGAGGCAGACTTTCCTGTAGTATCTGTTCAGACAAAGTGGCTAAGATTGGGTGGTGGTGCTTGGGTAGGAGGACCAGGAGAGAAAAGGATGAAAGAGATGAAGGAGTAAGGTCGGATTTGCATGAGAGGAGGAATCAGGAAATGAACACATTGTCATTTGTCTGGGGATGGGGCACAGTGTAGAACTCAGTCAGTGTGTGCTGACCTTCGGCACACTGAGCTGTGGGGTCATTGGGACCTGTGCACACAAGAAGAAGGACAGAGGAAGCTACTCAAATTCTACTTCTTTCTCTGTGACTTGCTGCATATTCACTTCCCCCGCCTCTGCCTCTTGAGCCCCCTTAACCAGTGTTGTCCTTGAGGGTTCCTTGTCTGCTCTACTTGTGTTGCTTGGTCTTTTCTTGGACTTGGTCCTGAAGCCTGAAATCCATCATTTAATATTTTGTCTTTTTAAAAATTATCACTGTGGACGCTATCATCCTATTACACAAGGGCCCTTGAGTGGGAAAATATGGGATAGCCTTATCAGGAATAAAGAAAAGGAGCTGAGAGTTGGTGGCCACTGTAACATCTTTGCTTCTGTCTTTGTGTCCTCCTTGAAGAGCCCTGTTTCATAGCTGACCTTCCCTGAGTCCCAGCAGAACTTGTGTGGTATCTCAGTTACTGTCTCATCACTGGGTTGAAATATCTGATACACACAGTTTCAAGGCAGAGAGGTTGTTTTGGTTCAGTTTCAGTTCATGGGCTGTTGGCTCTAAGGCAGAAGCTGCATAGTGGAAGAGTGTCATGGAGGGAAAGGTACTCAAGCCCCAGCATCTGGGAAGCAGAGCAGGAGGGGAGGAGCCTGTGACAAGAATGCATCCTTTCAGCTCCTCTACCCGAGACCTACTCCAACTGTGTCCCACATCCCAGTATCACATGCAGTTACTGAACTCACCACTTCACTGATGGAGATGCCATGCCTTGGATCCAGTCATCTTCACACACACATGAGAACTGAGAGGGATGTTTTAGATCTAAGCTATAACACAGGGCCATCTCCTCATTTGTACCAAACAGTTCATCTGTAGAGAGGAGGGAGCAGAGGTCCAAAATTAAAAAGGCTGAGGGCAACAGACTCAAAGGGTCTCCCTCCCTGTGCTATAGTTTGGATGTTTGAGAACAATACAGCCATAGGCTTTTCCTTCTTCTACCTTCCTCCTCCCCAAGCTATGGCAGTAAGATCGCCCTGACCAGATTCTAGAGTCTAGATCTTGGACTTCTCACCTTCCAGAACTGTAAGAAAATAAATTTCTGTTCTTTGTGTTACCAAGGTTCAAGTATTTTGGTAGAGCAATGCAAGTGGACAAAGACATCTCTGCTTCTACATGATAACCAAAGACTTTCTGTTGAACACCTTTTCCTTTTCCTTCCCAAGGCTAAAACAGAGCAAAGAGCCCAACTGAGGACAAAAACCGATGTAAGGAAGGCATCAGCCACACTAGAATTCAGGTGCTCCAGCCCCGGTAGCTCTCCCATTGTGGACTCTGACAGTCATTTGCTTTCAAGCCTGTTGTATAAGAATCACTTGAGGCCATTCTAGATGTTGCCTGCTTCCAACCTGAGTGTTAATGACTGGTATAGGACACTGGGCCCTCTGGACTCATCCTAGGCAGATGTTCACAGGCTCACACTCGCAAAAGAAACCAGCATGTCACAACTCCAGGGTTGACATGAGCTTTCAGGAGGAAGTTGGCTGAACACAAACAGAAGAATGATGATACGTGTGGATTAACTGTATCATATTATCACACAGCAGAGAACCACCAGGGGCTGGAAGTGAAAAGAGGAAAACAAGTGGCGTGGTCTTCTCCAGCTCTGAGGTTCTGATCTCAGATGGGGAGGCCATGTGAGCACAGGAGAGAGATGGAGGGGCAAGAGAGCTGGCTTGGAGCTCTGCACTTCCTGTCTGTAGGACTTCGAGTGATTTCCTCGCTCCCTCAGCCTCAGTTATGTTGCATATACAATGGGAGCTCTAACTTAAGTTTGACTGCAGTCATCTAAACCCAATGTTCTTGAGTGTCCCTCTAGTTTTAAGACCTGGAGTAAAATTCTGGGGAAGATGGATATTTGTATACAAATAAGTACAAGCATTCTTCCTAAGAAGAAAAGACAAGGGGTAAGGGATCCTGGGAAGATGGGCTCTGGAACCTTAACCAGGGCAGGTCAGCCTTGACTTAGTAATGATGCTGCATTCTTTCTCAGCAGCAAGAGGAGTTCTGGAAACAAGAACTTGATGGGGAAGCACCCAGGCTTTTGGGAACTCATTAGCATATAAGTGGGGTGAGTGCTGGGTTGAGATAGGGGCAGAGGGGGAGGCTGACTGTCCCTTAAAAAAGTAGTTTGTAGATGGGGGAAAAGGGAGAGGAGCTTTTCCCTCTCTAGGCAAAGTCTGTGAGCTTTTATAACTTTAGATTTGTTTTTTTCATTTTAAAACCAGACAAAGCTTTCAGTGACATTTAATGTGTCACAGTGTTTTCCATCTGCTGGACACAACTCAGTCTCATTACTGCCCACTAAACCCTGGATGCTTTTCAGTGGACAGACTTAGCTGCTCTGTAAATGTCGTTGTGGAAACCGAGATTCCAGATGCCTGAGAGTGTCTGGCTCCCAGAGCACCCGATAAGCAGGGTGCTCTGAAATCTGAACCTTCTCCTGAGTCCAAGAAACCGTGTGTGTTGGGAATGCTTGTAAGAGACACACTGACTCCTTTCTCTTCCTGAAGAAGGAGGAATGGAGCAAAAACTGGGAGATGATACCAGGAAGAGGTGATAAATAAATGGGTCTGGTCACATGTAGCAAGGAAGAGCCAAAATAAAGTGAATGTGAGTGTATCTTGGGCCGACTGATAACAAAGGCTCAGCTGGTGAGGTCTTTTCTGGAATTGCTTTTGCTAACTGGGGGTATCACTGAGATGGAGTTTAGAAAGGAGAATTTCAGGAGCACCTGTCCCACAGGAGACACTGAAGGTCTTTCCACTAGTGTCCAACTAGAAAAGGAGTAGAGCTTCGGTCCTGAAAGGTGAGTATGTGCTGAAGCTTCCTGGAGATTCAAGAGGGCCGGGCTGGGGCCCCAGAACTGACACAGCTAAGAAGTTGCCATGTGATGCTTGTGGTGTAGTCCAGGATCTCATGGCAGGAGCAGTGGGTTAGAGTAAGGGACGTTTTTAGTAATCAGGAGTTACTGACTGGGCTCTGAGAAACTGGGCCATTTATGAAATTATTTTGCAAGGATACAGGATGC